CACCCCCCCCCCCCCAATGAAAACTTCTAGAGCCACCCCCGATGTCCTAGACCCCCCCCCCCCCCCCACCCCTTGTTCTATATCCGTCAGTCTCACTGCCCCCTCCACCACCCCCCCCCCCCCCCAATGAAAACTTGGAGTTGATAAGACAGCTGTTGGTCTCTTATCAAGACAAATAATTAGGTCAAACTGCGTCATGAGGGGCCCAGATACAGATACAAGTTTCGTTCGGCATTTCGTGTCTTCAGATCGTGTCTTTAAGTTTATCTTTGTTTTCCTGTGACTTGAAATTTTTTAAACTTCAAAACAACTGGGATGGCATCTATTGCTGAGATAATTGACTAGAGAGGAATATTTACTCGAACAACTGCCGTGTGTATCATCAACATATTCTGATATTTTTATATCCTCTCCTTCTTACAAAAAGGTTAAATAAAATTCAAAATAGGAAAAATAAACAACACACTAGCAACCAAAGAACGTAGCTTCTCTAAGAATGATTGGTATTAAAAATAAAATCCTAGGACGTTGGTCCGTAATTTAAGAACTTTTTGTGAAAGGTAACCGTTGAAAATGTTAAAGATCCCCGGGCACTATAATTAACCATCAAAATTTTAAATAACAAAACGTATGCAGATGTAACTGTTAAAATAATTTTACAGCAGCAATGTTTTATTTAAAGAACAGCGGGTTGTCTAAAGCTATAGCGTAGGTTGGCCTAGACAAGATTTTAAATGCTATTACTCCGTCGTATGCCTGTTTGTACCTGTAAAACGGCGGGAATCTGTCACGTGGTACTTGTCAGCTGACGTCAGCTGTATAGGACTTCAAAAACCCGTATCTGTGCAGGCCAACCACGAACAATGACATCTGTTCTGTTCACAGCAGATGACATGTTCTCTATACCAGATGACATCTTCTGTATACCAGATGACATGTTCTCTACTTCAGAAGTAAAAATTTCCAGAACAGGTCGTGATTTCCGTAGCGGAAGTCAGCACTGACGTAGCGGAATCGTGACGAGATTTTCAGCACCGGAACAAGTTTAAGTGGAGTTTCCCAATCAACTTAATCATCATGCAGAGATACGAACATGAACTTACAAAACCAGTTGATCGTCTCAGCCCTCACCTGCCTACCCCAAACTAAACGAGTCGTAGGTCTCAACCCTCACCTAACAAACCCCAAACCAAACGAAGGTCTCAGCCCTCACCTAACTATCCAAAACCAAACGAGTCGAAGGTCTCAGTACTCACCTACCCAACCCCAAACAAAACGAACGTCTCAGTCCTCACCTAACAAACCCCAAACCAAACAAGTTCAAGGTCTCAGTACTCACCTCTTCCAGCACGTGATCCAGGGGCGGGGCCTGCTTGACCCTCTCCTCATCCAGGCCCGTCTCCAGCTTGCAATCCTCGGTCAGGACCGTCTCCGTGAGTTCATTGGGCTGGGGCTTGACGTAGTGCTGTTGGACGTCAACAACCTGCGGACGACAGGTCATGTGACTGGTCAACAAGACGTGGACGGGAGTCACGTGGTAACAATTTACACACACAAATATTCATATCAGACTGAGTGATATAGCGACTCACAGGCTGGTACAGTACGCAGTGATAGGGCTGGTAAGTAGGTCACCAAACAGTTCTACGGCTCAATAAAACCTGCATGAGCCATAGAACTGGTTGGTGACCTACTTATCAGCCCTATTCACGGCTCATGATGTATGTTTAGATTTCATTCGGAGAAGATGGTGCTACATAGGATGTAACGTGCTTTATAGTCGTGTTGGTGAGCGGTGTTCGATCTAGGGTATGAGATAGGTTGAGAACCACTGATAGCCAGTGAATAACCCAAAACACTTTCTTAACACTTAGCGCGTGTAGAAAATTAGGAGCTATACCATATTCAGTGTCCACACAATCTTACTTCTGCTGGTACCCTGACGAATGCGTGATAAAATTATGACATCCAAGTGACAAAAATCGTGACAGCGTCGTTGTAAAACGTGAAACTGTGACGACGTGGTAAAACCCTGACAAAGAGATAAACCCTGACAACAAGACAAACCCTGACAACAAGACAAATGCTGACAACGAGACAAACCCCGACAACGAGACAAACCCTGGCAACAAGACAAACCCTGACAACGAAACAAACCCTGACAACGAGACAAACCTTGACAACTAGACAAACCCTGACAACACAAACCGTGACAACGACGAGGCCCAACCGCGAGAGCCCACATGACCCACGTGACCCTGGTGACAGGATCAGAGTTGAGCTCACGCACCAGCAGACGATAGATGTAATTAAACCAGCAAACGCACGCGCCATCTGGGACCCCCGCACGTGCACGCACATAGCGCACGTGCTGATGCGGCGAGAGCGGCCACAGATGCTCGTTTAGAGACGTACCCCATCAATAGCCCATTGTTTCATTAAACTGTTTCTATGTGTACGCCATCGGCAAGTATCAGAATTATTGCCGACCGGCAAGTATCACGGTCATTGCCGAACGGCAAGTGGCCGGCATTTGTAACATCGAAACCCCTTGACCTTTAGGTTATTGCCTCACGCCTGCGGGTAAAAATGTGACAGAAAATAATGCCAGACCGGACATTTGTTAGTTGAAGAAGAGCCCACAGGTCATCTATACAACCTCGATGTATAATATTCGCGTATATATAATGTGTATGTATGTGTACGTCACTATCTCTAAATAAAAGATAGCATTGCATCAAGTTTTAACTTAAACTCTAAACATAAATTAAACGCTAAACCAACCAGATAGGCTATTAGTTCCTTTATCAATCTGAACTGATACAAAAACTATTTAATTTAAACAACAGTGTCAATAAACTTTCAAAGGCGTAAAAGAAAAAAAAAATGTAATTTAGAAACGACACAATTTAATATAATTAATAAAAATGGTGAACAAAAAAACAAAAAAAGACAAGCTCTAATTTTACTTCTACGATTTGTAAACTCATTAACATCGAGATGAATCTAATATTAGCAGATAGAATCAGAGAAATATTCGCCAATCAACCACGAAGACAAAAAAAAAGTGCCAGCAATATTCCAATATCGCGCGGCTTTGGTATCGCATCATCTACCCTGCGGCTAGTGACGTCATTTGTCACTCGTCTGCTGTTTATTGGCCGCGAGGAAAAATGGCGCGCTGTGGGTAATAAGCGGTACCAGACGTCTGAAGGGTTCCAGAACGTTATTACTGATGCGTGACAAAGGGGCGTGGAAGCAATAAACGGTCGCGCTGGAGTGGCTAATTAAGACAGGTAATTACAGGTAATAACTTGTCGGCGTTTATATTGGAACATAACTTGGGCAATGTAAAAACAGGAAAACTAATTTAAGAAATGTAACTCGTCTATTTGGATATTAGATCTTTAATAAATAGAACAGGCTATGGCAGAAGGTATTGATCAACTCAGATACGGTAGAAAAAAAAAGCTTTTTAACCGTTCGAATTTTTCCATTTTTTAAATTACAAAGAGGCAGCCTATTTTTATTTTTAAAGTTTCGTGCAAAAATGTAACATTTCCAAAAGGCGACATCCATTTTATAGCCTGAATATAACACTTTAGCCCCCCACCCCACCCCCAACAGCATTGGTATTTTAAAAAAAACTGTTAACAATAAAATCAGTGATTAAAATAACGCTAAAGTTACCGGCGATTCCAATTCAGACCTGGTCATTTTTTTTTGTCTGGACTTGGTTTAACTGGAAATCGCCGAGTATCGAGTCTATCTACACGATGCCAGTTAAAAGTATCGAATCTATCTAAACGAAACCTCTTAAAAGTATCGAATTTATCTAAAACAATACCAGTAAAAAGTATCGAATCTATCAAAACGAACCAGTTAAAGTATCGAGTCCCATCTTGGCGCTACTTTTTACCAGGCGTTAACAGAAAACAAATCAACTTTAAAATTCGTATTAGATTTAAGGCTACAAAACACGAAACAAAACACCCCTCCTATGTTAGGTTTAACGTTACAAAACACCCCTCCAGCCATACATAACCCCTCCCAACCTACATAACACCCCTCCCTGTCCACATAATATCCCTCCCACTTCACCCCTCCCTGCCCACATAATACCCTGCCCTACCACCGCAACACGTCCCGTATTGCGACATCTGGTTGTGTATCGCTGTATTGATATACACAGATGATATCTTCTACACTCACTCACCGAAACCACACACAAGCCAACGTGTGTATAGGGTGTATTATGTACAAGAGGCAATTATATCTTTATAGCTCCCCCATCCTGCTCACCCCACCCCCCCCCCCAATCCCAACGACCCCCCCCCTGCACAATCGATAGACTGGTGAAGGCGACACCAGCTGTGTGTCAATTAAAATATTCGGTGTACGTCACCGGGCACGTGCTGTCTACGTCACACGTGCTGAGTTAGGGATTATGGCCCCTGACTAAGACCTACAGTGGGACAGACTTTTCATTGTGTTCTAGTTATTAGCAGTTTCTAAATAGTTCTCGACAAATCTAATTTAGCTTTAACATCAAATTTAGAAAATGAAAATAGCTAATCCATGGATCATATTTTCCCTTTCATGACTATATAAGGAGAGTTTTTCTGTTCCTTTAAAAAAATAAGTAGTTCCCTTTTCAAACATGACGATCTATAGGGCAAGTGAAGTAAAGTTCACTTGTTTCTGTGACCTCGGCATATGAAGAGATAGTGTGGTCAGCACTATGCCCAGCCGCCTTTACTTTCCCTAAAGTGAGTTAGGTACCCATCAGAGCTGGGTGGACTCAGGGACGATCTACTGACTTGAACCCGGATTCTAACTCGAGACTTACGGGTTAGCAGTCCAGCTCTCTACCGCTAGGCCACTCCCTCCTTCTGTTTCTTTTACCTCGGTATAAAAGGGGATAGTGTGGTCAGCTCTATTCCCAGACGTTTGTGTTTATCTAACGTGAGCCAGGTACCCACTAGAGCTGAGTAGACTCAGGGAATCAATACACACTCGCGCCCCGAGATCTGAACTCGGAACTTTCGGGTTAGCATACGTGCGCTCTACCAACCGACCACGCCGTAAGATAAAAAAGATATATATAAAAAAAATCTAGCATCTAAAACGATTGGATACTGTTGTGAATAATAGCATAGCTCGTGCATTAGACCTCCCCCTCCCCACCAGCGTCACTATGTGCGACTAAACGTTACTAATGACGTAATGTAATGACGTAATGGCCCACACATTATGGTTTCGTTTAGCAGAGGAAAAGCCCGAGGTTGTTTTATCTGAGACTAGAACAAAAATACTGGTTTCATGATCACTGTTTAAAATAAATCTAAGTAGACAAAGGAGTAACACGAAGGTAAGCATCAACAACTGTAACAACAAATAGAACTATGTCTGCTTGTATATACATACATACATATATATATATATATATATATATATATATATATATATATATATATATATATATATATATATATATATATATAAAATTTGAAATTACTTAATTAGGTTTGCGTTATTAGAGAGGTGTTACAAATGATGACAACATTAACGATAGTTACAGACCCATTATAGATGACGAGGGGCCGAAAACGCAAAGAAAAGGACCATCAACTTCACAGAAAACACAGTTTATGTATTATCAATAAAAAAAAATAATTCGACCACCGACCCCTTTCACCACACCCCCACCGCCCCCTCCCCAGCACAAACTTGCTGATCGGTAGACTACGTCCTTCACTCGACGCAAGCTGTTTCCTATGGCGAGAGCTGTGACCAGCCCGGCTCTTATGGCGAGAGCTGTGACCAGCCCAGCTCTGGTGGAGAGAGCTGTGACCAGGCAGATTCAGCGAATTTTAAACAAAGCCGCCCCCCCCTCCGACTCCCGGAGTCAAACGATTTAACCCCCCCCCCCCCCTTTTATCTCAGCCATTTACTTCAGTCGGCCAGACGGTGCCATATTAATACACGCGGGTCGGCACAGCTGGTCTCATCAAGTATAGGCACCCCGGGTGGATTCTTTAAATGTGTAGATTGTTCCAACGGGTGGGTTGTTCCACCTGGTGGATTTTCCAGTGGGTGGAATGCTCCACTGGGTGGATTGTTCCACCGGGTGGATGTTCCATTGGGTGGAATGTTCCACTGAATGTATGGCATCAATCGTGGATGCTGTACTGTAATGAGCTTCCTCGATCTTTCATTAATTTGTAATTTTATTTTTTATTAACATCACCATCGACAAATTCATCTCCCCCACCCTCACTCATAAAATGTTTGATTCACTTATACACAATTACTAATATTGTTTTAATATAATAAGACATTTTAATTGGCTAAGATCAATGAAACTTTACTTGATAACATCTAGTTATAAAAAAACAAACCAAATTGGCCCAAAAATAATAATCTACAATAGGCAGAGGAAATTGAAATATGTTCAAAAACGTTTGTTTAAGGCTTAAAGCA